CCTCAGCTGGATGTGTAGTGCTCGGCTGTGGGTACCGCTGCTACTGAAGGATACCTAGAGCATGTAAGATTGATCTGACTGCTGGCTGACCCTGAGGAGGGGGACAACTTGGCCTATGGTAGCAGCAGCAAGTCTTTTGTGGGCTAGAGGAAGGCTCCTTGTTTACAGTCTCTAAAAGAGCTTCCAGGTATTCTTGGCACAGCAGTACGTCACTGATAACAGGCAAAGTATCTTACAGATCCTGGTCCGAGTTTCTCTAATGCTGATGATAGATTCCATTGTTTCACATGTTTTTGCTGTTGTTGTTTGTTTTTTTTTTTTTCTCTGAATCTCTACCTTTCTCTTCCCTCCTTGCTTCAGAGGAATCCCAGGAAGGTGAGAAGTCACTGGCAGTCACTTTTTTTGAAATTGCTTGACTTTTATTCTGCTGCCTTCTAAGAGCCACTTTTCCTAACAGCTCAATTCATGTTTTAGGTCTTTTCCAAACTCTTTGAAGTTCTTAGACGCCGAACGATCCGCCGTGCTCTTACATCAGTGCCGCGGCAGCGACTCTCATCCAACAATAACAAGAAGAAAAACTAGCCAGTATTTTTAACTTTCTTTCTGTATCTGAAGTGTTCACACTTATACATATAGGACAATAAGCTGGACCGTCTGGGCCGGTCTGCATAAATGCTGTAACCATACCAGACCGATGCTGCATATAGGGTATGGAATTGCACATCCATCTTCTAGGAACTGTAAAGTGGTTTGAATTCAGTGAAATACTGCTGTATAGGAGGGAGATCACTTGTGTCAAAGCACGTGACTGATTTTAAATGTCATTGCTGTAGCAGCAAAACTCATTTCTCTTCAGTTCATCATGCCAGCTTGTGTCAGACTTCAGCGTTCTAGGTCTCTTTCATTATTTCAAGTCTCATCTTTTTGTATGTTTTTATATTTCATTTTCCTTGGTTACCTCATTTTTTTTGTTTCTTTGCACACTTCTCATCCCACAGGTGTTGAAGCCCATGAGTGATAATTTGATGGAGGATCATATGAGGCAGTCTGTAAAAAACTCTATCAAAGCAGGCCTGACCGAGCAGGTGTCTCAGCATGCCAGACTAAAGACAGACTGACAGTTCATCTCCTCTTCAACTCTGCCCTCTCATCCTAGACATGCTTGCTGTACCATGAGAACTCAATAAAAAAAAAAATGAATAAATAAACCAAAGTTTACAATCGACTGTAGAAGTAGTTTAGTGTGACTGGCTTTGCAGATCGCTGCCATCACCTGGGAAGAGTAAGTTTGTCAGTGCTCTGCTTCTGAGACAAACTGGTGCCATGGAGAGCACCGGGGCAGGGGGGGGGAGGTGGGGGGTGTGTGTTTTAAGTATAGTCCTGGTGAATGGTGCACGTCTGTGTTTGGGGTGTGGGGAGGAGGATCTTCCTGTGTTTGACTTGATGCAGTCTCTGGCTTACAAGTGGGAATCTGTCCTCTGCGGGGAGGTATTTCAGGGAAGTAATGGTCAGACCCGTAGCAGGTGCCCTCTACCCGAATGTACCTAGCTCCACAAGATCCCGTTGCCACTTCTAACTCGGGAGCGTTTGTGCGTAAGTGTACCAAGCCGGTGAAGCCATTAGAGCCACTACATTACAATATGCATCTTGCTTTACTGCCTTTTATACCAGTGTTACCCAAATGCATGTATTGGTTCCTCACACAGCCGATGGCAGAACTAACTGTTGTAAGGGAGGCCGTGGGTCAGAGCATATGCTGTCTTGCCTTGAACTCGCAGACCTGGTCCCAAGGGAGATGCATATCGGAACTGAGCTGTCTTTTTCTGCAGTTTAGCCTTCATGTATATAATATTGCCATTAATTCTACTGGGGGAGAAATTCCATCCAAAAATGTTGCCTACAGCTACCGAGCAATGAGTTAGGATTGTCTGTACAGTGTGTTTAGTTTTTATTTTTTAAGAAACCACAGATAGGGCATGTATATGACATATAAATATATAAATACAATTTTGTATCAAAGTTTTGTAGTTTATGGCAAAACCTGGTTCTGTGGTAGCTAAGTGCAGTCCCTGTAAAGGAATGTTTGTGGCTCATGTAAATGTGTGAATGCATCGACGATTTGAAGTTTTTTGATATATTTGTGATATTTACCTGCCTTGAGCACTGCAGTCTCTCACCCCCTTGGGAAAATCAGTGGGAATGTTTGTTGTGAAACTCTTGTCCTCTGTTGCATTTTAAAGTTATTTCCTGTAATTTATTTTCAGTACATGATTAAAATCAGTTGTGTATATATGAAATGAAATTCGTGCTTATTTTTAAAAGATGCTCACCTGTGTATTCGACTACATAAACCATGTCAAATACTTGCCTTGAAAATTATATGAAGTACAATAGACAACTTGTTCACAGCTTTCTCCTGAAGCTGATGCTCCCCTCGTGCTCGTTGCGGAAAGACTGTCTAGCTCATCTCCCCTCCCTGTTTAGGGGAGCTTTCTGCTGTTTGGAAGGATGCTACTTGACCTGGGGAGCTGCTTGTCAGCTTCTGCCCTCCGACAACTGTATCATTCTGAAATCTTGCTACAGGCTCTAACCTGTTTTCGCTCTTGACTAAATCGGTATCAACTAAGGTATTTTCAGATGTGTGGAGTGTAAGGGCAGCTACGTAGTTAACAGCTGGAAATGACTGTGTGCAATAGCTGTTGTTCGCATTCCTAAGCGGTAACAGCTTCCATAAACTCTTGAGCTTCACCCAGTCTCCCCTCTCTTGAATGAGGGGAATCATCTGTCTAGGACTAAAGCAATTGCACTGTGACTTTTGCACCCTAAGGAACTGCTAGGGAGTGGTGGTGAAGTTAGCTGCCCTCTGGCAAAGAGGGCTCAGCTCCAGGTGAATGATGCCAAAGATGAGGTAGGAATGTTGCATTTTATGATATCTTCTCTCAAAACTGTACAGATTAAATACTGTTATTTAAACAGTCTAATGGTTTTGGTGCTCAATCTCTCTTGTTTCCTTATTAGTTCAAGGACTAAGGAGTCACACAGGCAGCTTGGAGCACCATGCTTGCCTTATGCCTTCCTGGAGAACGTGAGAAGCAGAGTCAGATTTGAGGCTGCGCTGTGCCCTGCTCGCCTGGCAGCGAGAGCAGAGCTGTCCAGGACGTGATGCTAGTGAGTCGGGGTAAAGCCTTCAGCTTCTGCTGCTCCCTGGTAGTAGAGGACTGAAACTGGCTGTAAGGGGGAGGGTTCTTGATCACTGTCCCAACAAACTGCAAAGTTAGTGCTTTATGGCATGGAGAACAGTAAGGATAACTGCCCCCTCCCCTCTAGTTCTGAACGTTTAGATTCGCAATTAGCATTAGGTTATGCCATTAAAAAGGTTGTCGTCTTGCATGCGAAGGAGCGCAGAGGACCATGCCCCAGCTCTGTGGTGTGAAACCCGTTGCTGCGAGTCAGTGGAAAGGCTCCAGAGGGGGGTTACCCCCTGCAGGGCTATGGGACATGTTATGGGCTGGAGTGGGACCATAGGTCGCAGGAGTCCTGTGTCTGTGGTATCAGCAACTGCAGAGACTGGAGTGAGCGGAAATGAAGTACTAGCAACTGGAGCTGGACCGTGGGTCTTAGTGGCCCGCGTGTATGTTGGTGCCAGCAACTGGAGTGAGTGTCAGTGCGAGAATATCAAGTTAGACTAAGTGGCAAGTAAGGTAAATGACCTGGGAGCGTGGTACAGAAGCGGTTAGAAGTCTGTGTCAGATAGGTGTGTGTTCTTGTGCACGATGCAACTGGAGGCACCAGGAGGTCCAGGCCAACTGTTGGAGAGACACCAAGGTCTGGGGGGTCAACTGAGAGACCTGTTTGTGTACCTGCAGAGGCAACAGGAGACAAATTGCAACAGGCCACTCAGCTGGTTACTGAATGGGTTTGAGTGTCTGAGACAAGTTACTGGAGGGATCCACAGTGCGCCTATTTGGTTTGGAGTGCAGAGGTGGTTTGTGCCAGCCACTGGAGTTGGGGCTGTGGGCTGTGTACAGGTGCCAGCCACTGGGGATCCAGGGCCAGCTAAGAACATCAGGATGATGCATGGGGAGTACAAGGGAGTAGAGGAACTCTGCTGGTGGTGTACAAGGTGGGCAGGAAGGAGATGCACATGCCTTTCTCTACCCAGGGCTACTCTGTGACTGACTCAGGAGAGGGGTTGAGAACTATTCCAATTCTGTGCAAACCACTGCTGTACTTGAATGTTGCTGCCCCATCCCCGCCCCACCCCCTGCAAAGCAAGCACAAATTTAATAGGGAAGGCAGAGAGGAAAACAGTGTAACTTAGGCTACACTGGCAGCCTAGCTCTGGCCAGCTCTTGTCTAGCTCTCAAGAAGGATGCAGCTAGGAGAGCTCTGGAGATCAGGGATGGTAAAGTGAAGTACAGCATAATGCTGCAGGAGGACAGAGTAGGGGAGATGACCAGGGAGGTTTAACAAGCTACAAAAATCAATAGGCAGATGGAGAAAGGGATGAGGTAAAAGATGGTTTATTACAGGAAATGCTGGTAAGAAGGTACCTTCCTCAGCTGGCACCAAGTTAAAGAAGGGCACTCACCCTCTCAAGCTCAAATCCCCTGGGTGTCTGGCGAGGGGGGAAAAGCTCATCCAGAGTAACGAATGATTAAAATTTCTGGCTTTAGAAGACCATAAACAAAAACGTCTTCCTTTTTAACTATCTTGTAACTCAGTCGCCTTAAAGCACCTTACGAACAGGCCATGGACCATAAACTTTTTTTTATAGACAATGGATCCTTGAGGGACAAGGACAGATTAAGGACATGAAAAAAAAAAATGCATGAACTATGGCGTGGCAGTAATAAAAGGTGGAGAACAGGAAATCCTGTATTTTATGAACCTAAGTATACAGAATGTCCAATGTTTTTTTCCATAGTATTATCCAACTATGGTACTCCCTCAAAACTCACTACCTGTTACTGCTTCAGGTTAAAGTAACCAGGTACAGGTTATGGTAAAACTTTTTTTTTTTTTTATTGAAAAACATGGGCAGAAGTAAAGACATTATTTACACAAGTTCCCATCTGCAGCTCAACTCAAGAACATAAAAACAGTAATGTGACAAAAGTACAGGGGTCCAAAACATAATTATGGAAGGTAAGAAATGATACGATGGCAGCTTCCTCATAAACATGGACCTTCAGATAAGATCAGCAACTGAAACGAGAGAGAATAAGAGTATGTAAATTTGCGCTGAGCAAGTTGAGAGCCACAGCCCAGCAGTAAAGCGCACATGCTACTGTTCCTGGGCTTTCTCAGGGCAAACAGAGATGGGTTTGGCTTGGGAACGAGGCACATGGCAAAAAGTATCTGATGCTCGTCTTTCAGATGCTGCGCAAACCTGCAGCTGGAGGAGAGTGGCAGCCTCGCTGTGGCAGGCCTGCACTCACCGTTCATGGGCATCTCGTCTATCTGGGTGGAGTAGTACTGCTCAATGTCTCGCAGGATGCGGATGTCATCGTTCTTCACAAAGTTGATAGCTACACCTTTGCGGCCATATCGGCCTGACCGGCCGATTCTGTGCGGGCAGAAGGAAAGAGAACGGAGTCATCTTGGAAGGGTACTCCAACTATGCTCCCTAATGTGAGTGCTGTCCTTACCTGTGTATGTAGAGTTCTCTGTTGTTGGGTAAGTCATAGTTAATGATCAGAGACACCTGAGGCACATCCAGGCCCCTAGCCCAAACATCTGTTGAAATAAGGACTCGGCTGCAAAGAGAAGACTACAGTTACTGCAGTCCCACTCCCTAGAGAGGCAGAGACATCATCTCCAGCATGGGACATCCCCTGCCATTCTGTGCTCCCCCTCCCACAGCGTGCTGCCCGCATCCGGTTTAGCTACTAGGAAAGCTGTCTCTACACAGAATCACCAACCTTCAGTGAAAAGACACAGTATGATGCCAGCTTTCATCTGACGCCAGGAGCTTAAAAAGATGGGGACAGCGCCCAAACATCTTTCTCCCTTGATGTATTTTAAACGTAGCAACTACCAACCTCTTCAGCAAAACAAACCAGGCTAATTCTATGGCTAGAATTACAAACATCCCTTCTTGGGAGCTCTTGCGATCTCCCCAACTCTGAGCCACCCTAAGAGGATGGATGGGAGTTCGAGCTCTTCCTGTTTTAAGTTAAACAAGGAGCGAGGCCTTCAATGAGGAGAGGTGTTAAGCGCTTCTGAGGCCTGCTCCACTGGGACCTGGAAGAAACCCTGGCCTGAGGTAATAATGCACTGAGCAACACTGTTTAGGGCATTTACCTTGCGCCGGATCTGAACTCTTTCATGATGGACTCCCTCTCCTTCTGTGGCATGTCCCCGTGCATGGATGAAACTGTGAAGTTGGCTTCTCTCATCTTCTCTGTGAGCCAGTCTACCTGTGCGTACAGCCAAGCAGCCAGGGTTAGCTATTTGCTCCTGACAAGATGTGCCAGTCGTGCTTGGAGACTGTATACAGAGACATACACCATTAAGGACTGTAGCTCCAAAATGCTTGTTTAAGACCTTTCAAGTAAGCCTTATGCAAAGCATCAGCTATGTGACGTGTAGCACTGACTTAACACACAGCTCCATGAATCACGTAACTGCATCTATCCTTGCGAAGCTCACTGCTGAAAAAAATGCAAGTCGTGTTTACCAGCCCAGATCCAAGCCTGCCCAGAGAGCTGGACATGGAGCGGAGACGTACTCCAGGCAAGGAGGTTAACAATTTGAATAACAGGAAGGGCTCGGGCTGTGGCTGTGTGTAGTGAGACATGTAGGCCAAGCCTGTTAGTGGTTGTGAGTGGAACAGGAAACACTGAGTTTTCCCTCTTCTGATATGGAAAGAATTAAGGGCATTTATTCAGGAAGTGTGGTTTTGTTTTAGGGATTATACGTAATTAAAAAAATAAGCACATTGTAACTAATCAGTTCTACTTTAAAAAGGCAACTCTTGCCAACTCTACCAGGTCCGCTTATAACCAGTTCTTGCCTGTACTAGGCCCATCTCAAAGACCCGAGGTTTACCTCTGTTCTTACTGAACTATTCCCAAATGAGCAAACAACCAGGCCTTTTAACTGGGTCCACCCCAGCATCCGCTTCTGAGTTACTCTATGCGAGTGAGATAACATGCCCGTCTCACGGCTGCTGTACCTTCCTCTTGGTATTACAGAAGATGACAGCCTGGGTGATGGTGAGAGTGTCGTAGAGATCACACAAGGTGTCAAACTTCCATTCTTCCCTCTCCACAGCCACAAAAAACTGCTTGATTCCTTCAAGCGTCAACTCATCACTGCAAGGAAGAACAACAGCTATAACACAACACCCCAAGTCAGAGAGTAGGTGCAATGCAGATAAAAGGGCTGGATGTGTTTCAGCAGAGCTCGGGCTGCTGTCCTAAGCGCTGTGGGTTGCTGGGTCCATACACAGGTCCGCGTTGCTCTGCAACGTCCCCTGAGAGGCCTCCTCTAAGGAAAGACTCAAATGTGACCCACGCAACAGAGCTGAACTTGGGGCCCCTCTCTGATCTAGGCAGTCAGCTTCAAAGAAAATGATCCTTCTCCTTGCGTTGTTTTTACATTCAGAATATTGGACAAGGAAAACTGAAGAAAGACAACGGGGGCAACATAAAAGCTATCAGGGCTTCAAGCCCAGTCCGCTAGATGCTTTTTAGGCTTGCTCTATATACCAAATTAATGCAGGCCTTCCAAAAATCCTCTAGAAGAGGAGCACAGGAGTCAGGATAGGTGGGAAGGATGAATTTCCAGAAGTCTGCTATACACGGGGAAGACAGGGAGAGGGCCACGCTGAGAAACAGCGAACAGAACTGGACAATGACAAAGCAAGAGGCAAACCAGCCTCTGCTGGAAAACGGGCCGTGAAGGATGTCTGCAAGTACCTAGTCAAACCGCACTGGTGAGAAGGAACACAAGAAGAGACTTTGCACGTTTAAATCGGTAAACACTGTGAACTGGCTCCAGGCTGGAGCAACCTGAAGAGCTCCCGTTCTCCTCCAAGGGAACCTCACTCACCGTTTCACCAAGATGCGAATGGGGTCTGTCATGAATTTGTTGGTCATCTCTAGAATTTCATGAGGCAGAGTGGCGCTGATCAGAACCACCTGCGTAGCTGGAGGCAAGTATCTGTACACGTCATAAATCTGCTCCTTAAAACCTACAAAAGCAAATCAAGCAGTGCTTAAATGTTAGCACATCTTTCTCCTGAGTATCCTGTTCTTTCACAATTTGCTCTGGAATTCTGTATCGGGTCTACGCTATGCAAGGACCACTAAGCAGTGAATCAGGAACTTGCAACCAGTGTGAACCATTGCTCATCTCTCCCCACCTCCCCCAAACCCACTATGCTGTAGCCGTGTTACACAGTACAGTACTAGAGGCTGGTGCTCAAAAATCTGTAACTATTGAAAAGGACAGTGCAACTGACTCAGATGAGAGATTTTAACTAGCTTAAACTGTTGCAGCCTGTAACATAACTCACACTGTACAACTACAGCAAAGAAAGGATTGTTTGTAGGAGCAGGACCTATCAGCTGGGATATGTGAAAATCGCCAAAAGATAAAGAGAAAGGAAGTGCTAAGGAGATAAAATATTTTTACCTTTATTAAGCATTTCATCTGCTTCATCCAAAACCAGCATTTTGATGGCTCGAGTCCTTAAGCTTCGGCGACGAATCATATCTGTAAGATTTCGCTTTGTAACATCAAAAACCTCTGAAACTGTGCAATCCTGCACTACTCCTAAAACCGTGACTAGCGCTTGGTGATGGGAAGGCACTTCCAAGGGCCACAGTTTAGGGGCACGTATCTGCAGAACAGCCTAAGAGAGCACTGACTGCAGGGAGGCTTTCAGAGTCTGAGTCTTGGGACGCTATCCGCTAAGCACACAGGACAGGTGAATCGCAGTCCCCCACAGCAACTGCAGCTGGATGCGAGCAATGCAAAACACTGGATGAACTTCTAACCAACACATCCAGCAACTGTTAAGTTCTGTTTGGGGGAGAATGTGGCTTTGCATAATCCTCTAACACTGAAAGAGAAAAGTATTTGCTGTTAATATGTTGTTCAGAGCTAGCCCAGTTTTCAGATACTATTTTTTCTTTTGCAACTAGTTCTGCGTCCCCAGGGACAGGTACCTCTGTAAGAAAACGTTGCTTGTTTCTCAGAGTCAAAAGCTGTGAGCTCGAAGGCTAGCACTGTGTCACTATGGTACTTCCCATTTTAAATCTTCATACATAAAAGCCTTCATACAGTGAAAGTAGAAAGTACACGAGCACCTGGTTTAAACAGAGATAGTGATGGCCAGTACGCAGAAAATATGGGCCTAACTTAAGACACTCAAATAGCCTCAGCTCCCATCTCCTCTGAGACTCTGAAATACCTCCTGAGATTTTTATATTTTCTGCTTTAAAATATTCTCTCCTGTTCTGTATGTAAAGACTCATTTGAACAATGAAAAGTAAAATGTAAACCAGAGAAAATCCAAATGCTAACCTCAGTGACTTCTCTTTAGCCTCTTACAGCTCTGACAAGTAAGTAAGCGGACACCTCATTATATTTAAGCATATTTTACATTAATTGGGTCAAGATAAATGTAGTTTCCATGGTATTTCAGATCTCTGGAATTTAACTGTCTTGCACATCAAGTGCACAAAATGTGCAGGAGGCTCTCATGGATCATCTTGGGTCTGACCGCAGAGGTGACATACCCTCCCCCCATCTCCTTACCAAACACGCGGCCTGGCGTGCCAGCAACAACATGCTGCCCGTAATCCAGCTTTCGGATATCTTCACCCACATTGGTCCCTCCGATGCAGGCGTGACACTGGACATTCATGTAGTCTCCCAGAGCAAGGAGACCCTGTTTGGACACACAAGAACGGCTTAGTTATCTGAATTCTCATAAAGTTTATCTATTATGCAAAGAGAGGCAAGTCTGTACAGCCATAAAATATTTTTAAAAGACACAAGCACACCAGGAAGAGGGATCTTTTAGGTGCGTTACCCAAATTTCCTCAGTGGCAAGCTTTCAAACACCGGGAGTTCAGAAAGAAAAAGCCTCCCTCTAGTGGAAGCTGCACTTCTGGCTCTACTAGGGACTACCTAAGAATTGACCCCAGGCCTTACGCGTGCTTTACAGACAAAGAATGGGAAATCCAAAGGTACAGTTCATTTTAAGTGCTCCTACCTTCTGAATCTGTACAGCCAACTCCCGAGTTGGGGCTAAGATCAATGCCTGGGTCTCGCGAACCTGATTAAAACAGCTCAGTTAATCACATGGCCATGGCTGATCAAGCTCAACCGAGATTACAGATCCTACAGTGCTCCACAATGTCACGTTTGAAGGATTAATTACAGAGTTCTGTGCTAAAACCTACTGCTTGGAAGGGTCAGTTCACCTAGAAAGCTGCTCCCACACAAAGCGTTTACACAGGAACAGCTGCTTATGTAAGTTACTTTTGACAAGATGGCACCTAATGCAGTTCTTCATTTCATCACCTCATTTTTCATTCCAACCTCGTTTCTGAAAACAATTATAAAAGCGAGTGTGCTTTTCTTGTAAAAGAATAAAAACAAATTTTCAAGTGACTTAACTTTCATACTTTCAACTCAGGCAAAAAAGCTTTGCATTGTTCAAGGATGCCAAGACAATGTTTTAAAGTATCATATTTGCGAAATATTTTGAGCGCTTTACAGAGAGGAGGTGAAAAGCTGACCTCTCCATTCAGAACAGGGAGCTAATAATTATGTCCCCAAGCAATACCAAGTGAATGACAAAGCTTAATTTAAGGGACTACTGGTCCACAGAAAATCATGCTAATGTTCAAGTGCACCTATATAATAAGTTGTATTTCAAAAACATTTGGGCGAACAAAATACTCCTGACTAGAACAAAAATGAACATCCGTCAGGCAAAAATCTGGCTCGACTCTGTGCAATATGTGCCACCTGTTCGTGGACAGGTTGATGATGATGTTAGGACTGTTTGAGGACAACTGTCTGCTGGAAGATTAATTTAGCCATCTAATGCTGTCAATAAAAGCATGTGGAAAAGATTAGCTGTTAAAAGGCAGCTTTATAATTGCAAGATTTTATCTGAACTTTTTATTCTGTCAAGGTGGGTTCAACAGTTAAATCCTGACAGCAACAGAGCGTGATGAAATTTTCAGTCAGAATTTTGGCCGAAGGTCACTGCCCATAATTAAAAGATTTCAGTTTAAAGCTTCATTCCTTCATTCTAGCCAAATGAAGGCTTTTATAATGAAAATGCCAGTGATCTATTTTAAAAATTCTTTTAACATGTGCTGCGAAGTCACCTGTATATCTAGGCACTGCAGAACAGAGATGGAGAACGTTGCTGTCTTCCCCGTTCCAGACTGTGACCTGAGAAAGAGGTGTTTGGTAAATACTTTTTCTTCTGAACAGCTAATAGAGGCAATTTCAACATACATCTCTCACCCCTCTGCCCAAAGGTAGCTTTCTGCCATTTGTTCATTGCAAAGAAGTGAATATTGCAAACAACAACTTGCTAAGACAAGTTCGACTGGTAAGAAAAACAGCTTTAAGAAATGTAATCTCAGGGCTAGAGTACTCTCTACTGCAGGGTCCCAGCACTGTCACGTTTACCCCTTACTGCACCAGCATTTCAACTTTCTGCAATTTGCCTTGCAAGATTTTCTTTTCTTTTAAAGTAAAGCAGTAGATATGCTACAATTCAGAAGGCTATTGATTTCCACCAGTGACTGAGAAAATTTTTTTTTCAATTGGATGTATACCCTTTGTTTCCGGAGACAAATACAAGATCGTTTCTACTTACTTCTTTTCCCTTGACGAGAGACCGCACGTGTCTCTGTACTTCTCTAGCTTTGCTGGAAACCACTCCCAAGAGTCTCAGACCCCCGTTTATTCAGAACACACAGCATCTTGGCTGAATGTTTATCACAGTGGCACATCTAGAACATCACCCACTTGGGTTGGCTAGATATTACCAGCGCTGTCAGGAACACTGTCTGCATGTCGGGTGGCCTGTTTCACCCTACAGCGTTTACGATGTGATTTCCCCCGTCCTCTGCCACGTCAAGCAACGGCTGGGAAACGCCATCGACGCACCTCACCTCCAGCTGCGGGCACGGACCGTCACCGGTGCTCGC